ATGGTGCGTACGCCCCAGAGGAATACACGTTTACTCGGAAGTTCAGCGTCGCGGGCAGCCTCAGCGCCATCTCACACATGTCCTCAGAGTGGGATTTCGACGCCACAGATGACGAGCACGCCTACGTCCCAGCCTTGACACTGGAGGAGGCTCGACGTGCTTTCCGAGATACACTCTCAGGTCTGCAGTTTTTGCACATTATTGGTATCATCCACCGGGACATCAAGCCGGCCAATCTCTTGGTATCAAGCAACGGCACAGTAAAAATATCGGACTTCGGAGTTTCATATCTTGGCCATCCGAAGGATCCTGAGACAGATCCGGAATTCGATCTCACCGAACACGATGTGTCGGCGATAGATGACGAGCGAGAACTGGCGAGATCGGTTGGCACTCCCGGCTTCTGGGCTCCGGAACTGTGCTGGGAGGATCCCTCCATGTTCGAAGAGAAGGATGGTCCCAAAATCACCGGTGCCATTGATCTCTGGGCTTTGGGTGTCACGCTATACTGCATGGTATATGCTCGCCTGCCGTTTTATGCAACCGAAGACATGGGCCTCCACGAGGCGATTTGCACGACCGAGGTCTTTTTGCCGAAGACTCGACTTGTCCCCGTGGATACCACTCAAGAGAAGCCTACTTCGCAGGTGCCGAACTCGATCAACAGTAACAAGCGGCTTGATTACGAACTGAAGTTTGAGGTAGTGCCTGATACCGTGCGGGACCTTATCCGTCAGCTTTTGAACAAAGAACCAACGAAGAGGATGACTATTGAGCAAGCAAAGAAGCACCCATGGGTTGTGGAGGGCCTGCAGGATCCATCACAATGGATCAAGAGTCCCGACCTAGGGAAAGAAGGCAAGAAGAAGATCCTGGATGTGGATGAATCGGAAATATCGGGTGCAGTGAGCAGAATGAACATCATTGAGAAAGCCCTGAGTACAGTTGGTCGAGGTATAGGGAGCTTGCTCGCGAGAAGCACCGGGCGGAAACGTGCTCCCAGTGCAGCAACGTCGACCAGTCGGTCGAGCGAGTCGTTTCATTCCCCGTCAGCCTCCAGTGCCAGTACAGTGGGCAAAAGCGAGCGAGAGAAGCTCCGCGAAGCACGCCGCTCAAGCTTGCGTGGCGACGAACTTCTGACGGCCTTGAAGACTTCAAGAGAGAACACCGAGCACCCGTTGGCGCAAAGTCAGACTGCTAGCCCAGACGATACTGCGCATGATCAGTATTTCAGCGAATCCTCGCTCACGGGAAAAGCTCCATCGCCAGTCCTCAGTCACCCAGCCAGACACGAAGGCAGACCTCCCGCACCGGATCGCGCGGTCTCGACCATGTCCAATGCCGAGTCGATCCGAACGATCAGAGCGTCACATTTCAACCGACTGCCGGTTTCTTTCCCCGAGACACCACGAGACGAACGTCCAGCCTCACAGGACAGGGGGTTCAGAGCCAGGGTCGATGGTCTTTGGGAAGGCACAGCGAAGACGCTTGCTCGGCTCGGAAGCAGAGATCGACGTGCACCACGAGATGAACGCTCACCAGCTTCAAGTCGCCATTCGTCAGAAAGTGACGCATACGCCGGACCTAGCGTTGCTGTAAGCACAGCGTCAGCAGAAGGTTCTATCGAGCCGCCAGATGTGTTGCGCAACACTGAGATTCCTCCTACCGACAATAGCTCACCTGCGACGCTGCATCTCCCGACCCATGGCACCAACAAGACCTCATTTCAACCACCAGCCTCTACCCCTGAGGCATTCGAGCAAGCTCAAGAAGTCAACCAGCGCCGCCTTCTTCAGGAAGCCCAAGTCCAGGCAGCAGCGGCCGCGCAAGCTGCTTTGCAACCTCCACTCCAGGTGACCGCTCAGTGTCCGCCTTCGCCTGACGACATCACCTTCCTGGAGAAGCATAACACACGAGCCATGAACGAACCGAGGGCGTTCTCACTCGGCTCTAATACCATTCATGGCGGCCCGTCTGCCAGCACTATCGCCTCTTCGCTGGATGGTTATGGCACCAGCAGCGTCTCGCAGAGCTTGTCAAACCCCAGCATTGGAGTTATTTCCGGTGCTTCTTCTCCACCTGGCGAGGGCTTTCTCAGCTACTCCGACGCTCCGGCGAAGGCAGTCATGACGAAGGAGCCCGAGCCCGAGTTTATGCGCACAGCGGATACGGTGATCAAGCATGGGAAATCGGCGCAGGTGGCGACAGCCCCCGCCCTCGAACATTGCGGGTACGACGACGACGAGGACGAGGATGACTCTGACGACGGAATGATGATGCCAGCTTCGTGCAAGAAGCCGCTGTAATTTCACAAATTTTCATGCTTGTTTTGCGCTTCGGGAACGACACCGGCGCCACGTTACAGATACCCTGGCTTTTTAGAACGACATGTTTGGCATGCTGGGACTGATGGAAAATGGAAAGGGCAGCATTTGCATACGGGTTGCATTGAAGGAACTGGAAACGAACAAGGCATCAAAAGCAAGGGAGGATATCGTGCTTATGTGCTGAGCTAGCAGCAGGGCATCCAGGCCATGAATGTACACGATGTACATCAATAAAAGTACCTTTCAACTCTCGCGCCGACTGTCCAAGTGAGCCGAAAATCTGCTCGCCTTCCTCCAAGGCAACCACGAGGGTAAACAACTTCATTGTGGTGGAGGCAAGATGATATAGTGGTGGTCATGGCTCCGAAGCCGTAGGAACTGAGGAACAAATCACCTTCGAGTCACCTCGCTCGCAGACGAAAATCAACTATTATGTGACCCGGAAGAGCGCGCAGAGGCCAGACGACTGATGTGTATAAAGTACGGATCAGTAAGCGCACTATGAGTCATGCACGTGACAGCATCTAGAGCGGCGGCGTTGTTCAAAAACCGCCAAGACACTGTAGTTTGGAGAAGGGAAAGTCGTTTTGCTAACGGTTCGACAACAACCATAGCGACGAGCTTCCTCGACCCCGACGTCCGCACATTATTCTCTTTAGCCTATCTAGCTGAGCTGCGTTGACGTACTTCCCTCGCTCATCCCAATGCCGTACATGTTCTAGCTCGACTCGCAACCACGATGCGGCGATAACATTTCTCACGACCATTGTCCTTTCCACAATCAATCTATCCTGTTCAACAGCTGTCATCCCCCAACCCCTCCTCGGCCGCCGATATGCAGCGCGTTCTGCGGATAAATCTGCAATCGCGCAACCAAGCACTGAAAGCTGCTCGCCGGAAAAACCGCGATGAATACTTGAAAGATTGGAAGGATTTCGAGTCGCGGCAGATCCTGACGCAGAAGCAGAAGAATGAGTATATCAAGGCGGAGCGCAAATCCCGGAGAGAGGATTGGATGCTCGGACCACTCGCGCCGAAGAGGGACGTCGGCACGAAGCAGAACTTCTACGGCACCGTCAGCAACCTGCTGTATCAGGGCCCGGTATTCCCGCCCAAGGTGCGACGGGGGCCAAAGGGCAAGGGATGGGACTTTGTCGGTGGGGAGGGCCGGCCAGAGGAGCAGAAAGAGTGGGAAGGCTACGGGAATGAAGGGAACATCGTGGAAGGGGATCGGGTAGTCGTGGTTAAAGGGCCGACCAACCTGGTCGGGCAGATTGGGAAGGTCAAGGATGTTGCCAGCGATAGTAAGGAAGTGAGGATCGAGGGCTTGAATATGGTGAGTCTGATTCTTTGCTCTCCACTTCTGTGTACACGGGCGTCGTCTCTAACTCTCGTGGTTTTGCTGCTGGACAGGCCGACGTCGAAATCCCAGAGAACTTCCCCGATCAGCGGCAGAAACTCCACTACACTTCGCTCGAGCTCCCCGTGCCGATCTCCGACGTACGACTCGTGCACCGCGTCACCGATGAACGCACGGGGAAAGACCGCGACGTGGTGGTCAAGCTCCTCCGCGGCGGTGCGCCGTATATCCAACAACCGCCCAATTCCCCTCTGCCGCGGCATACACGGTACATCGCTGGTGAGGACATCCAAATCCCCTGGCCAGAGGTTGAAGTGCCTTCGTACCAGGCCTACGAGGGGGACACGACGCGCTATGACGTGGAGTCGCAGACATGGACACCGACACTGTACGCACCACCCGTCCCGCCTGCGGCCTTTGATAATCTGATCGAGGACGAAAAGTACAAGCGGGATAGGAGGTGGCACGACGACGAGTACGTGCGGATGAAGGTGCTCGAGGACGCGAGAGCCGAGTGGTACATGGAACGGAAAATTCAGGGCCCGTTGGACACCATGGTTGCGGAGAAGATCCGGCAGGCAAGTCAAAGGACGGAAGCCATCAAGGCCGCGGGCATGAGCGAGGAGACCAAGGCGCTGATCGCAGAGCAAATGAGCCGTGGTGTGGCCGAAGGGATCCTGCAGGCCCAGATGAAGCCAGTGCCACAGAGGAAGAAAGTAGAGGCAGAAGCATGAGATGTGGTTTTTGGCTCTGCCGTACGCGCCAGCATGACTTGGATTGCACAAGGATAGGATGTCTCCTCCAGGCGATCATTTTGATTGTACAGTATTCGGTGAGCGGCATGGACAGAAGCACCTGGTAGGCAGAGATCCGAAGTGTCTGCGCTGTATAAAAGAAACAACTAGACGTCTCTGACTTATAGGGGGAAAGAGCACAAGGGAAACCGTCTGGAGAGAATCTAGTCTTCTTCAGCGGAGAACCCATCTCTTGGACGTGATGCACTTCGTCACTACTCAGTGGCGCGTGTACATGCGCACAGCCAGTTTGAACTTTCTCTCTGTTCGAATCATCCAGTGCTTAGGCCGGGCGCCTTTCCACTTGAACATCTTCCCGACAGAAGCAGCACCGCGTGTCCTCAAGAGGAGCTTCAGACCCGGGACGAGCCTTGTTTTCCCTGGCCTGTCTGAAGATCCTGGGCGCTCCCCAGATTCAGCTGTGCCTCACCGGACGTCAAGCCAGGATTTCCGTGGGCCCCCACCCTCGCCTGCGAACCCGTACTCCTCCCACAGCCCGTCTATATCAAGCTCGACCAACTAAGTCACCAGACTGCCTACAAACTCGACTCTCCCTGTCCTTGCTCCTGCTCCTGCTCCTACTGTTTCCTTCTCGACAAGTTGAGGCCATTGGACCAGGAAGCGGTCCACCAGGGGCTTGAGCAATCGGCCGCTGAGAGAGAGGGTTCTAACCCGCGCCCAGGACTCAATGTAGATGCTGCGCATTTGACCGATTTTGGCCGACGCGTCTCCAACGCCCATGTCGTGCTTCATTACTTTCTTCGACCGTGGCAAGGAGGCCGACGGGCCTGCGACGCCGAAGAAGAGGAGAATGATCGATGCGAGGATCACGATGACGCCAGTCCCGGGACCATTAGTGAGAATAAGATCCGGGGTCAATGGCCTGGAGGAGTTGTCCCCAGCGATTCTAGGGAAGAAATCGGGGTGTGTTCCTCGGAGTAGTTTGATGCAGTCCCACAGACAGCGGAGACTTGACAACGGGGTAGTTAGGAGGGTTTGGTGGACGCGTCTTGCGCGATGGACTGTGATAATGTCGTACCCTGTCGGTCCTACCAGAAGTGCTGGATTCGCCCCATTCGGGTCCCGTTTGTCCCGCTTTGAGAACATGTCATGCTCAAATTCGCGTGCCTTTGACGCCGAGAATTCGTCACCTGAACTGACGACGTAGGTTCTTTGTGGCCAGTCGTCCAGCAGCCTGCGATATTGGCCGAGGATGTTGAGCATTTCGGCTGTGTGGCCACCCGAGCCCAGCACAATTAGTAGATGGGGTGGATTGTCGGAGGGAGACCGCGGGCGGCGATAGATCGGATCCCGGTTCAGCACTGCCGCCAGGCGGAAAAAACAAAAGTTGATCAGGATCAAGGTGAAGACTAAGGCGAAGAGAAGGAGGCTACTCAGCGGAGATAGCGAGGTGATTGGCGTCAGGATGGTGGTCCATGTCGGCGGAACTGTAGAGAGCAAGGGTGCTTCGGGGTCGTCCATTGCGACTTAATTAGTGGCCACTCTGTGGGCTTAGCAACGTATCCGCCTCAAGAACGCTCCGCAGCAGGAGGACGGAAAAGCGAGCCTCTTGAACGGTGGGAATTTTATCCATGCCCGCCGACAGCTAACGAGGTGGCATCGTGAGGAGGACAACATGAATGGGTGAAGATGACAACGGGTCGTGGCAAGGCTGAAAGAAAAGGATGTGAGGGTTCAGTGAGACAAGGCTGAAGCATGGCATCATCGTCCATCTGCTCCTCCGTAGCGCATACTCCTCCGTAGCGCAAAGACCGACGTATTTCCGCAACCAAAAGAACCTGAAAGCGGTACATTGTTGATGCCGCCCGGACTCGAGAAGACAAAGTCACTGCCACTGCCACTGCAACGGAACAGCTTGGTGCTGCCGCGCAAAACAGTCCCTTTTGGTGTCTTGAACATCAGGTGCTTCTCCTCCCAATCATGCAATCGACATCATGCCGGTTACACTCCGCCAGCGCCTCGACTGCCACTATTGCGGCCAGCGGTCCAAACAGACGCCGGGCAAGAAGCGTGGCGGCAGATTTCAGTGCGAGCACTGTCTGGCCGTCAACTTCTTTGATGAGGTAAGTGTCTCTGGGCCCTATGAGAACGCTCACTAATTGATCATACAGAACGGAGAGATAGCAGATGTTCCTCTCGAGGAAGCGGCGCCCGCACAGGACCTCCCGCAACCGGTCGAGGCCGACCCGCTCGCAGATGGCTTCTCAGCCCGAGACTCGATCTTCTGTTCCACATGTCTCAAGAATCAGCATATCTTCAACTATACCCTCTCCCAATATCTTCCGGACCCAGAGGAACCCGACTATGACCGACTAGAGGCCGAGCTCCCAGAGTATAAGAAAGGCCTGGAGCAGCGATACCCTCAATGCTGTGCGAAGTGCGAGCCGAGAGTAAGAGCCCAATTACAGGAGGCCACCTACAATGCGAGAAGTGACCATCTCCGGCGGGTGTTGGAAAAGTCTCGCCAGCGAAGGATCGCTAGCCGGTGGGGATGGAGAAGTCTCCTCGTCAACGCTGCAGGACTGGGATACTTTGCTAGTCTCACTGCGCAGATATTATGGCATCTGTATGGGTCTCAAATTTCCAGCATATCCCCCCTGGAGGTGAATCAGCCCGCTGAATGCGTTCGACAACGGGCTTTTCATTCTTCATGCTTGGACGCAACGGAGCCGCTGGTGGGACTCTCCCTCGTGTTAGGACTTCTTTGCGTATGGTGGAATCCCAAATGGCAGGAGAAATTGGTCAATAGCGAAGGACGGCTGATTGGTTTACATCAGTACTACCTGATGCAGCTTGTTCTGCTGGGGTTGAGGTTCAGCGCTTGGATCATCATCTTTCATCTCCCTGTCTCCCTTTGGGTGAAGGCTATGCTGCACGCCTGCTTTGCGGTCGCGCTGTCTGTCCTCGCAGGCTGGTCTGTGACTCGAATCGTCAAAGTCAGATTTGCGCCACCTATCAATTGGCATCAGGATCCCGCGCCTCTACTGACAAACCAACAATTCATACCACCCGGTCGTTCTGAATCGCAAGGAACCCAACCACTGCAGGATCGGCCTTTCAGCGTCGATAGTCTAGCCCAACCCAGCAAGCCGACTTACCAGCCATGGGACCCTCCCACTCCACCTCCAGATGCGGCAGACGCTATGGATTGGACTCCCACGCAGCGAACATTTCAGCCACAACCAAAGCAGGTTCGATACCAGTCTCTTGATCGTACTCCATTCCACGGCACGTTGCCGGCTCTCAATGCAAGAGGAGTTCTCAAAAACAATCAGAACCAGAAACAACCCGGCAGAGAAGCCATAGGTCTGCCGCCAGGGTTTTTCGACAAGCCAAAGACGACGACGCTTCCTCCTCGTCAGACCGCACTTGCAAGCGAGGCAATGGCGCAGCCAACCTTCTTCGGTCACACCCGAGAGTCTGACACAGGACTTGAAGATATCTTTGATTCCGTATTCTCCCTCCGAGACCGATCTTCTGGGGAAGACCCTCCCACCTCAGCAAGAACACCAAAGCTGGTTCGAGATTTCGGGCGGCATCAGACGGATACGTTCGAGGTGCCACCCACGACTAATGGAGCTTCGACTCTGGCTCTTTTCAGGGGCATCTCCATCTTCTTTATCTTGATTGGCTTGGCTTCCTGGATACTTGAGGCTGCCCTCTTATCTCAAACGTCCCAGCTCGGTTATTACCTTGTCCTTTCTAGCACAAGTATCCCGATCGGCCACATTATGATCAGCCTGTATAAAAATGGTGCCCGAAACCATTCTCTGAATCTATTTTTGTACGCGTTTGAAGCAACCGCGCTGATTGCTGTGGCCAAGCTGCGTGAGCCCTTTGGTGATCTCCTGAGGGATCTATGGGATAAGCTTGCGATCGGGGCCGTTGCTTTGCTCCTGCCGCAAGAATATTTGGCCTTGAACCGATCATACTCCCGATCGAGTTCTGAGCACTGGAACATGGCGCAGAATTCTGCTCCGGCAAGAAGAGAGTCGAAACAACCAGGGCAGACACCTATCAGTGAACCAACCATGGCAGAAAAGTCACGTGCGATCATGCCTGGACTCGTCCGAGCAGAATCTAACGAGTCAATCGAGACCCGACCATCCATGACTACGGATAGCGACCCCAGAGAGTCTAGCCCATGGGACTCGCCGCTCAAAGCCCAGAATGAGCGGTTCGACTATTTTGACACGATGCAGCCGCAAACATACACAAGGAGCAATACGCGACGGGCAAGTAGTCGACCCCAGCAGGCCCAGAAACGGAATGAGCCAATCTTGTCCTCCGGCGGCAGTCGTCCGGCGACCACACAGCCATTCGGCTTGGATGTCTTGATGCCGCCGCCGGGTGACGGGTTGTCGGGGGACCACAGTACAGGCTTAACGAACACGTTTCAACGGAATCTGAAGTTATCAACCCCCGCACAAAATCCAATTGCAAGCGCAAACCCCCGGCGGAGATTATGAGTCTGATTTTGTCAGGGAGGCTGCGTCTCGAATTCGGCGCCCATAGCCGGAACCCAGCAGGGATGATGAACTAGTGAATGCCTACGGGAAAAAGGGGCATTGTAGAGAATAAGGGCTGGCTTATTGGGAATCTGGCATAGCGTGGTGTTGCGTTTCGTGATTTGTCTTTCCAGCGTTTATACATGTAGCATACGGAGTAATGTATCCATGAACATCCAACTGCCGGCGCGCTGTGTCAACACAGGGACCTAAACTCGATGGTCTCCTTTCCCTAGCGAGTAAAATCCGCTTCGCGCTGTTCCCATATGCTCTCCACACAAGTGAGAGCAGTTCTCTCGACTCCAGATACCGTCACTGTCACTGTCACTGTCAGCAGCTGACCTCGTCGGCCGATCTGAGTCTCCTCGCTTCGACGGTGCGGCGAACAAAAGGATTCACAAGGTCAGCCACCCAACAGGTGCGGAGAGCCTCTTATTTTGTTCTATCATCGTCGCCCATACACGGGGTATTCCTTTTCCCGGCTTAGATGCCCCTTTTCCCCATCCCCGTGGTGCCCTCGCCATGCCACACACGCACGATGGTTACGTCAACTTTTGCTTGATGAAAAAGGCCCTCAGATGAGACAACTGCCAGGCGCAAGTCACGCCCAGCACGCCCAGCTGGATGAGTGTCCAGCGCACGATTCGGGCGTTTACGGCTTCGCTCTGGTCGCGGAACTCGACCTCGCGTTCCTAAAACGTTTGGGGGAGCCGGTCAGCATTGGACATATCATCAAACAAACTTTCATCACGCTTTTTCTCGACAGAGCTATGGATGGGGTGATGGTGTGCATGACATTGCACTGGGGAGAGGTTCATGTAGATCACGATTAGGACTACTCACCCGCTGGAACAGCTGCTCGCGTCTAATGTGCTGCATGCGGTCGTTCAACTCGCGGACCTTTTGCACGATGGTGTCGATCTTGTCCTTGTCCTCGCTTTCGATCTTGCCCGTCTCGCCGATGGCCATGTCGATGGTGAGTTTGATCCCGCCGAGGATGTTGCCCGTGCCGCCGCTGAACCAGCCGTTCACGCTGATGGCCGCGGGGCCCGAGGGCGTGAAACACAGTCTGTGCAGGCCCGAGTCGGCGGCGCTGAAGGTGAATTTCGAGGGGATCGAGGATGAGGACGTCGTTTGCGTGACGACGCGGTGGTCATTGTCGAACGTCTCTTCCACGGTGAAGTGCATGTTCAGGTCTGGCGTCGGGCCGAAGGTCTGGGATTGCCGATTGAAGGCTTCGGCGCGGTATGTTCCTATGAGAAAGAAAAGGAGGGGGGAAACATGTTAGTTTGGTGTTCGTGTTGCGGGTAAGGAGGGTGACGGATTGGATGGATGGGTGGGTGGACGTGTGACAACGCAGCGAAAGAGATCGCCCCAGTTCGTGAGATGTGTTGAGTCTTGCATTGTCTTGTCGCGGTTGACTCGACGGCGAAGGGTGAAATTCCGCGCGATCAATGTCTTAGAGAATATCTCACTTACCCACGACGAGCGTCCCCTTGGCTAGATCCTCGTAGAAGCATTTCGGTGTGGTGCCGTCGAGGTAGAAGTACAGCGCTTGGGACGAGGAGATAAGTGAGGTGAGAGCAACCGCGAGGGTTGCGGAGAGTAGCTTCATCTTCGTTCCGGCGATGTTCGCGATTCTGACGTGCCGGCGTAGAGGATCGAGGCGAACGACGCTGCCAGGATCGGATTGAACAAAATGTCCAGACGCCTTTCTGCGACGGAGGAGAATGCGGAGGGACGTGCTGCGTGCCCCTGACTCGCTGCCAAGCGTGTCGGAGATGTTATCCGCACGCGTCGAGTCATTGGTCAGTGCCGTCGTTATGCCTCAGCCACTCGATTTGGAATGACACCGTCGTGCATTCTTTTTGTTGTCATTTCAAACATTCAAGCCGCAGTCTCGCGAACTTCACTTTGCCCTGTCTCGACCTTCATGCCAACAGCTTGACCTGCGTCTGGATGGGTGTCCGCCTGCAAGCGCCTTCAAATTTCAGCGCTTGGGACAGATATTTCCAGATGAATCTCATCCGTCGCTGAACCCATTTTCCCAGAATCCCCTCCGCCATGGCATCCACAAGCGACATCCGCGACATAATGAACTTGGGCCAGGCCGGTCCCCGCCAGCCTGCGCCCAAGAAGAAAAAGACGTCCGAACCTCAACCGCGGGTCACGGGCGTGAGACGAGAAGTTCAAGCTCTCATGGGCGATTCAGTGCCTCCGATCGCAATCGTTGAACAACGCTCCTACAAATCCCGTCCGTCGATCTCGCAGAAGTTATTCAAGCCGCGGCATTGGGACGAGAGACCGTTCCAACATGGAGGAAGAACCGATGGCTTGGTCTTGCGGCACTGGAAGAGATCAATTCCGGGGTCAAATGGCCGTGCACCCGCTGTGACAACGGAGTCGGCGGATGTGGAGATGGCGGATGGTGCGAAGACGGCTCCGGTTGCACAGGAGTTAGCTTTCGAGGAGGAGTATCCGTCACACAAGTGGAATGTCAAGGTAGAAGTGCCCTCATACACGGACGAGCAGTACGACAGGATGCTCAAAACGGATGACTGGACGCGACAGGAGACGGACTATTTGATGGAGCTGTGTCGTGATTACGATCTGAGATGGATCATCATCGCCGACCGATACACACCAGAAGAGATCCCCTCCTCCGCTCCAGCTCCGACAAGCGTCGAATCCAACGGCACCGAAGTTGCCATGAAACAACACTATCCGCCCCGCACAGTTGAATCCCTCAAGCAACGGTACTACTCCATCGCCGCGAAGATGATGGAACAGGTCACACCAGCCTCCACAATGACCGCAGCAGAGTTCCAACTGTGGGAGAAGATGCGCTCCTTTGACGCCAAGACGGAAACAATGCGGAAAGCAATGGCAGAGAAACTCTTCGAGCGCACGAAAGACGAGGCGGACGAAGAGAGAATTCTACTGGAGGAGCTTCATCGGATTACCAAGAATGAAGACGACTTTATCAAGATGAGACGGGACCTCTACGCGCGGCTCGAGCCGGTAGCCCCGCTGCGACGATCCGGCAATGGGGAGGAGCAATCTACCGCCATGTACCAAACCTCCGGGGGCTTGTCCATGCTCTTACAATCCCTCCTCGCCAAAGAGAAGAGACTCAAACGACCTACCATGCCAGATGGTGGCCAAGGTAGTACCTCGGCGACTCCAACCGATGCACGCGCCGAGAAAGGTCGCCAGTCCTCTCATTACTCTCGACGCGACACACTCGACACACAAGCGACGAATGATGAGCCGCAGAAGAAATCCTCCACTTCTCAGGCCTCCAATGTGCGGATCCTTGCCCCTGCCGACGCTGCGCGTTTCGGCGTCTCGCACCCACAGGAACGACTCACATCCGGGGTCCAGTTCCGACACGAGAAGATCAACCGTCTGACGATGGCCAAGTCACAAACTCAAACCACAAAGATCCAGGCTGCGCTCACTGAACTGGGTATTCCGCCGAGGTTGCTCATGCCGACAGAACGGGTCTGCAGGGAGTTTGAGCGGTTGGTCGGGGAGATTAATATCCTGTTAGATTGTAGGAAGGTTGCTGAGAAGGTGGCTTCTGAGGTCAAGATCTTGGAAGAGCAGAGACGCATCAGACTCGGACTACCGAAGGAAGGCGAAGAAAATGTGCCTGCTGCGGGAGTTGGCAATGCCGGCCCGCAGGAGGTGAAGAGTTTTCCCAACACAACCGACGCTATGGAGGTTGACGACTCTCAAGTCGGAGATGAGTCAAAAGTCGACGAGTCGCTTGCTGTCGATGAGGACGATCAGGATGCTGAGGCAGAAGACGATGAGCCGGCACGGGCTGCTGCAGAACGTAATGAGGACGATGCGCAAGACGAGAGCGCGATACAAGTAGATGCTCAAGAGGACGGTGACGCCGACGCAGAGGCAAATGACGACGCTAGTGCCAAGCCTGCGGACGATGAAGACGAAGAAGATCAAGATGAGCGGGATGAAGAAATCACCGGCCTCGACAACGACGAAGACCAAGACGAGGATGCGGAAGACGATGATGATGATGCTGCTGCTGCTGGTCGGCTCAATGCAGAATCGGACGAAGACGAGGAAGAAGAAGTGGGAGCATCTCCACCACAGGACACTGACGCTGAAGAGGACAATGCGGATGACTCGGAGGCCGAAGACGATGCAGAGCCCCAGGCTGAAACTGGGTCTAACAACGAGGAAGATGACGCAGCAGATATCACCGACGGCGAATCTGAGGCAGAGGCCGAAGCTGAAGCCGCCCACGAAGTCGAAGATTCCGAGGATGAAGACCAAGACCAGGACGATGACGAGGACTCTGCTCCTGTTCCCGCTGCTGCAGCTGAAGATTCTGGTCTCTAGGCAGATGATCAGCCTGACGGAGAGGACGAACCTGAAGCCCTGCCAGCGGTCCGCGCGCACAAGCGTTCCGCAAGTGTCATCTCCGAAGCGAGTCGCGCGGGGAGTAACCGTAGTGGCATGGGACGGAAGAAGCGCCGCTGATGATAACAGTGCCCCATCGTCACTCTTTCCTGTCCGTCCATATCTGCAGGAGTAACATAGAAGCCAGTGTTGAGAATATAGCGTGCGTGCATCCTATAGTAGGTGCATTCTCACCTGGGTGGAGTGCCTTCATAATAAAGGGACAACAGTACATCCTCGTCTCCCCAACGATGCAACTGTCGGACATCGTAGATAGACGTCGACAATGTACACGTCTTCTACATTTCGTGCTGGATTGGATTTCATACTTGGGTTAATTATACATACTGTAAGTGACGCAGCCCCCGTGACAGCCACAGCGAGTACTCCGTAAATGATATCTGTAGGTACTGTACACAGGAGGTGAGGATCAACTCCTTACAATATATATATATAGTGCACGGTTCTCTGTAGAGTCCAGTACGCGTCGTATATACCTAAGTAGTAAACCCTTTTTCCATCGTGGTTCTTCTTACAGTACGGTGCCTAGCTCAAGCGAAGAGAAGCCTGCCCAGTACTTCCTGGCGGAGTCTGTCCAGTAATCCCGCCACCGAGTCGTGAATTCCATCTCTCGGGTGTGCACGTGAGTAGAGGAGAGGTGGTACGTATGCGGTGTCCTGAATACATACTTGTAAGCTAGCTTAGCTGGTTTGGCGCGGGTTCTTCCCGTTTCTTCATCTGCGAGGATGATAGCTCGTGACGAAGCACATACAGGATGATTGAATCTGATTGAGTCTGATTGAGTCTGATTGAGTCCAATCGAACACCGCGCTGCATGTTGTAGCCTGATATGATACAGTACATACGACAAGCACTACGTCCGTACCGTACTGTGACGAAACGAGATGCTGGACGAGATAGTGTGATCAGCACGATGAGCACAGTGAGCACGATGAGCACGATTGAGCACAGTAGAGCAGAGTCACCGCTGTAGACAACCACGGCAGATACAAGTCCATTGGGGCGTCTAATCAACGCCCAGTCCATTGTCTTATCCATTGACCATTGACTCCTAGAGGTACAGTATCCCATCGCTGTTCCTGACTCCTAGAGGTACAGTATCTTGACGCTTTTCCTGTCGTCTGAGCTTTGCTTCGTCATTCATTGTCATTGCCTGCCTTGGCATGAACTGCAGTTCTGTGTATCCTGTCTTTCTTTTGGGTATCCTATGCTGTGCTATGCTATGCTTCGCTTCGTTTCGTATCATTCGTTTGCTGATCCCTGCTTTCCTTCCCTGCTTTCTTTCCGTCACTTGCTTATCCTGCTCTCTTTCCTTCACTTTGCTTCCTGCATTCCTTCCCTTGTCTCTTCATTCCTTCCTTCATTCCTCCTCGCTGATTTCCCCGTCACTGTCAGCCATCAGTGGCACTTCGCCCTCGAATAGATCGTCCAGTGGATCCTCCTCTGGGATCATTTCTCCCATGTCAATGTCCCCAGCCGACAGTGGGGCAATCTTGTCGCCTAGGTTGTGGTCGATGATCTCTAGCTGGTCGTATGCGGGTTCATTGTCCTCTAAATCCTCGGCATCGGAGAGGTCGTCGTAATAGTACTTGCGCGGTTCGGTTGTGGTCGTTGCTTCTGTGGTCGAGGATGAGGTCGTCATCTTGCTTGCAGTCGGGCCGGCTTGTCTAGCCGGTTGCATGTCCAGCTGATCGAATGCGCTCTTCTCCAATTGTGCTGCCCGGCTCTTCTTCTGCTTGCTTGTGGTGTCTGTGTTGGTTGAAGCCGAGATTGAGGTTGCGGCTGCGGTTCTGATCCTGTTCTTCGCCGGTGCCTTTGGTTTGGTGACTTTTGAGGCCTTGGAGGAGAGGACGGTGGAGTTGTTGTTCTTGTATCTTGATGCGGCTTTGGTCTTCTTGGTGTTTGTGACGGTTGCCCTGGCCGCCGAGGATGCGACACTCGGGATTGCAGGCTGTGAGATGGCTGTCAAAGTTGAGGTCGAAGCCGCAGCCGAAGTTGAAGCCGCCATGGCCAGGATTTCGGCATGAGAGGCAGCCCTGCGTGCAAGGCGGAGTTCGTCTTCCACCTTCTTTTGCTCGAACTGGTCCTTGATCATGCCCTGAGCCTTCAAGAGGGCCAGGTTCTGGGACTTGGGCAGCCACGAGTAGCTGCGGTCTTTCTTTTCCCGTTTGGGAAGGGAAGACTCCGTCCCTTCCGGGGAGGCCGGTGGCGTTTCGGGCGGCGCGGGTCGGTCGACAGAGGCTGTGGCCGCGTTGGCCTCAGTGTCCGCCTGGGCTGGCGCGGCGGACGGAGTCTCGCTGGCCTCGGATTCCGCAGGAGCGACAGCAACAACGGAGTCGTTGACCTGAGTGGCGGCCTGAGTCGAGGCGCCGACAGGAGTGTTGGTGACGTTGGCCTGTAAGGCCGCTCGGGCTGCCTTGACAGCTTGCTGATGGAGGGACGCGGGGGCGGAGGGCGCATCGACTGTCAGGTCGATGGTTGGCGTTGGCTGCGGCGTCACCCGCGACGGGTGGAGGTTGGCCTCCGGCCCATTGTGCACCGGGCAGAGGTGACAGAGATCGGCCTTGAGGATTCGCTGGCCAGCTGCTGCTATGTTCGCACGTCGTGTCTGTTCATGGTGCCCGCTGATCATCTCCTTGAGGTATTGCTCGTATCCAGCTTGCAGAGGTGTGGCTGGAGCCCCTTGAGCAATGAGGGCGATGGTGTCGGTCTCAGGTACAAGGGGGAGGAGCTTGCCGTCGATTCCGATTCTGAAGTCGTAGAAGCCTCGCAACATATTGATGTAGTGTCTGGTGCTGAGACATTCTCTTTGTAGCGTCGATTTCTGGTTCGTGAGCGTCTCTTTCTCCTTCTCAAGAGTGGCAATCTTCTCTTGAAGCTCTGTGACGGTCTTTTCGTGCTGTTCTGACTGGGTTTTGAGGGACTCTTGCAGCTTCTGATTTTGTTCCATCGAACTCATGAGTTGTTTGTTGGCCTCGATGATGGCGGTTGTTGTTTGAGTGTTGTCGAGAGAGCTCAAGGTGTTGCTGTTGACGCCGTCGAAGGACGCGAAAGGAGTGTTGCCGGATGAATCCAAGCTATTGTTCGCATCGTTGGTGGTGAATGCGTTAGCAACGTTGTAAGAAGGGCTCAAGATGCTGCTGATCATGCCGTTGTTGAATGTGTCGGAACTGTTGTCTGCAGAGCCTAAGACGTTGCTGTTCGCGCCGCTGGTGAGAGTGCCAGGATTGAAATCCAATGTTGCGTTCCACTGTGCGGTGCTATTGCCGAAATCCTGATTGTCGATGTCGAACATACTTCCTGCAAAATCCAGGGGCATCGGATCGCCGCTCACTTGGTCCCACGAAGCCATACTGTTCTGCATGTCATTGTGGTTCTGGGTGAGGGGGTCAGTGCTGGTGTAAATTGGATTTTGAAGAGTGTCGCCGGCGGAGGCTGTGTGAATGTTCTGATGACAATGGGGAAATTGCTGATTCGAATTTCGACGCAAGCTTCGAGTGTTGTGATTGGGATTCATGGTGACACGATCGTACAGCTGAAGAGTCGTCCGATTGAGATTGTAGCAGTCGCTGTCGAAGTCAGTCACTTCAAGTGAAGGCCTGGCTGATTGGTTTTCGCTGGCTGTTTGCTCTCTGGAGGGGTATCAACCGTAACGTTGTAGAAGGCAGGAAGAAGTTGAGCAGTGAGCGGGATTGCAGAGGGAGAGAGAGCAGACCTGGAGATTTAGAGAGTCGAAAGATCGAGCCTTCAATGCGAAAGACTGGAAAAGTTGGCACATTGAACTCTGCGGAAGAAAAAACCAAAAGGAGACTCTCAATGGACGTCCGCATCATTGGCCGGTTGAACAGTGATCAAGACGAAAAGACCGTGCTGCTGCGGACAGACTTCACCTGTAAGACTTTCTGCCTTTTCCGATTGAGCTTGACATCGTTATTCATGGTTCACCTATTGTCAATGCCGTCTAGGCTGTCTGCTGGCGGCAAGCCGACTGCCTGCCAGTGGTTCACGCTCACCCGGTGGGCTTAGACTGGGCGCTTTTGCACCTTTAGAGGTTCGTGACCACGTTTCCGGTGCCTCTAAATCACTTGCCCACTGTCCATTCGACGTTGGGAGCTGTCCGCCCACATATTTGGTCCAATCCCAAGCCTTACCAGAATTAACTTTCAGATCTCTCCACTAGGCTCAGCGTGGTCCTTAGCGTGGCGACACACTCTGTATTGCACATGACGGGCTGAAGGTTGTCCGCCCCGGGACCTGCGAGCGACGACATTCTGCGCGGCCTCATTACAGAGGTGGTGCGCAGTTGGTATACCACCGCATGAGGAAGACTATTTACGGATGAGGTCAGCGTTTTATAGCTGCAGGTGTCTGCGATAAGGAGCTTTATCAGGACAGCATCGCCTATTGGTTCGCTTAGGCGTGCCGAATGCTTAAAAGCAGCGACTAGATCTGGCATCAGCCTCGCCGGGCCTCGTCGCTCACACTTCCATCCCCGCATTACCGTCTTGCATGGGCACGACGCATCCACAAAGGCACAGACAGAGGCGAGCGTGGGATATGAATCACCAGAATGAGTGTCATTCTTTGTACAGGTAGCGTCTCTTGTGCACTTTGCGACGATCACAGTGCTGATTTTCGTCTCAGCTGGTTATGACCACACAATCAGGTGCGCCATCTTTGTCGACAACACCACCTTGCCTTGAACTGACAGTCAATCCTCAGATTTTGGGAAGCACTCTCCGGAATATGTTCGCGCACGATCCAACATCCCGAGTCTCAAGTGAACAGGCTATGCATAACACCTGACAAGAAATACCTGGCCGCTGCCGGCAGGCACATGGTCCGCCTGTACGACATCAAGTCCAGCAATCCGAACCCTGTCCAGCAATTCGAGGGCCATACAAACAATATCACGGGTGTCGCATTTCACTGCGAGGGCAAATGGATGGTCACAAGCTCCGAGGACATGACTGTAAGAGTCTGGGACACGAGAACAGGCATGGTACAGAGGAACTACCAACACTCACACCCGGTCAACGATGTCGTGATTCATCCAAATCAAGGCGAACTCGTCAGCTGCGATCGGGGTGGGAACATCCGCATCTGGGATCTTGGGGAGAGCAAATGCACACATCAGCTCGTGCCAGTTGAGGACGTCTCGATGGCCAGCGTGAGTGTCGCAAGCGACGGCTCTCTTCTAGCAGCTGGAAACAACCTGGTAAGTCGCGTAGCAGTGGGACGGCATGAAAACCAGCACTGATGTTTTTTTCCAGGGTGACGTCTACATCTGGCGAATGTATCAAAACCACGACTCGACCACCCTCCTGCCCTGCCGGGTTTTCAAAGCACACAAGGACTACCTCACCCGTTTGCTGCTCTCCCCAGATATTAAACTCCTCGCCACATGCAGTGCCGACCACACTGTTCGGATCTGGAAGATTGACATGAATGAAGAACACCTCGAAGTCATCCCAGAACAGCAGTCGCCGACTCCGCCACATCACCAAAATGGAACATCCAATACACCTGTAGCGAACGCGCTGAAACGAGAAAACCCCCACTCATCCGTTTCGTCCCAGCCGCAATCATCTCTGCGTCTCAACACGGATGAGCAGGACGGCAACAACAGCGAAACCTCACCCAATCCCAAACCCTTCCGCTCCGCCACGTCCCTCGCATCCACAGCCTCCGGCACAACATCCAGCCCGCAGAGCCAATTCCGCGCCAACGGTGCGCCAGGGTTCGGCACGGATCTCATATCGGCTAGGCGCCCCTTGCCGTGCGACGTCGTCCTGGACAACCACCAGCGTTGGGTGTGGGATTGTGCATTCTCCGCCGACAGTGCCTATCTCGTCACGGTCTGCTCCGATCACTACGCACGTCTGTGGGAGCTTTCCAGTGCGACCATCATCAGACAGTACAATGGACATCACAGGGGAGCCGTCTGCGTTGCGCTGAACGATTACAGTAGTCCGCCTTAGGAAGAGGGCGAAGAACGGGAAGCGCACGGCCAGCCAGAAGCCCGCCGTCGAGGCACAGCAAGGGAGCACGAAAGAGCAAGAGCTCTTGTTAGGAACATGCAGCAGGAACACGAGAGAGCGAGGACCGTCATTCGTCGCACGCAGCGGAACGGGCGGAAAACTCCCTCAGATTGATCCGACTTTGGACGTGGAGACTATCGGTGTCATTTCAAGGCTCCAATGGAGCTGCCCGGCCCAGGCTCTCCAGAGTAGGAACACCTTCTTTTTGAAAGCGACTGGACAGGATTGTCCAAAACGCAGAAATTGCTTACCCTTGGAATAATAGCGCTGCATAGCATAGCATGACATAGTTGCAGAGCAGGGCGCTTGGTCAAGATTTGAGCTGGGCGCTTGGTCAAGATTTGAGCTTGAGATCCGGAGTTTGACCTCAGAGCCTGGAGGTTGTAGCCTGGAGGTTGTAGCCTGGAGGTTGTAGCCTGGAGCTTGTAGCCTGGATGTTGTAGCCTGGAGCTTGTAGCCTGGAGGTTGTAGCCTGGAGCTTGGAATCCCATCCCAACCTGCTGCGAAATACGACATTTCTCTCGAGGCTGCACACAATCGAATGGATCACGATTTTGAGACCGCGGGAAATGTCTGTGTCGTCCGTCACGCGCGCCAGTGTTATCATGCACTGAGTACTCGGTACACAACAGCTCGAACCTACAGTCCACCCTCACGTTCCTACAACCCATCGATTGCAGCAGCTTGTCAGGGTCATTCTTCCTCCTCCTCCTCCTCTTCTTCTTCTTTGCGCCACAAAGCCCGCTAATGCAGAATGAGGGATGTAGCCTTTCCATTCATTACTTTCCTACCTAACCTGCTGTAGCTTACACGTATACTGCGTACTGCGTACTGCGTTACTACGTACTCGTCAATTATACCCCAGATCCAGGTCGGTGCAGTGGACATGCACGGTCGAACGATCGATGTTCAAGCAGGTGAAGAGATCCGTGCCGTGTTCGGGCTGACGACGTTGGATATCGGTGGCGTGGGATGTCCGAGCAGACGTCCGGGCTCGAACACACCAGATTGCCGACCAAAGGGGGCTGATACTGCCCCGACGTGGAGCCGACGAAGTGGCGGAAAGTGGACGTCGGCGACGTCGGCGACGTCAGCGACGGTCAGCGACGAAGGGGAACTCGTTGTAGAGCGTGGTGTTCTTTCTGGCCGTAGCAACTGGGTGACCTCGATGCCGTAGTCGACGTTGTGCAACGGAAAAAGGTGTCGTAGGTGATGTTGGAGCACGGCGCCGCGGGCCTCCGCCGCCGCCGCCCTGCAGGTCGGCGCTCAGTTCCGAGGGCGAGCCTGGCCAGACCTTGGTGCGCGCGCGCCGTCCGTGGCGTCGGCCATGGAGAGACGTTGTACACGTAGACGTTGCGCATGTAGTCGGTCCCACGTGGCGTACTGGCCGAGACTGTTGACGCTGACTCCGTGTGAGTCCGTTGCAGTGCATGTTCTGCAACGAGTATATTAGTGCTTGTTGGGCTTGAAAGCTGACGCAGTCGTCGCCGTTGGTTGACGACCGAGTTCTGGGTCGTGATCCCGTCGCTCCGGTACGTGTCCCAGCTGTCGGTGTTTCTTGGCCGTGTTGTTGGACGTGGAGAAGCCTGTGATGGAAATGTGGGAGAAAATCACGTTGCTCGGGTTGGCCACCCAGTTGTAGTATTGCGGCGAGTAGATGAGATTGAGGTTCGAGATGGTGCCGGAGTGGAGGCCCACGGTGCCAAAGAGGATGGGTCGGAGAGTGTAGATGTCCTGGGCGTACAGGTCGTACCACACCTGGCCGTTGCCGTCGAGAGTGCCCCCTCTGTAGACGTTGACGTCCTCGCCGCCGAGTTTGAAGAATGTGGTCGCGTTCTGAAAGACCTGCTTGAACGAGTGGGCTTGCCAGTAGTCCGTGTCATTTGTGAACTGGATGTATCCTTGGATGTCGATGTCGATAGATCGGAGGAAGGTCATGTCCAGGGCGGTGCCAATGGTGTACTTCGTGGATGCGTCAAAGATCACGTGCCCGCCATTGTTGCAGGCATGTAGAGCTGAGAGGTTGTATGGTGAGTCGTTGGTGACGGAGTCATTGTGGGATTGGACGTAGCAGTCTCTCGTTCGAGGAGGTGATGGCTGATTGGGGACCGTTGGATAATGAGGATGAGTTATGAAGCAGGGTCGTGGAGAGTGGTGCTTCCCACGATACACTGAGACGGCCAACGTTGATGCGGCTTGCACCAACAGCAGTATTGACAACTGCATCGTGGTTGAGTTTTGGCAGAACTACTACTGGCAACAAGCGTCTTGCCGATGGATAGTGTATGCCTTCTGCTCACCAGCTCGGACTTGGAGTAGTCGGACTCGTTGTGCCCAACTTCCTCTAAGCGATCTCGGTTGACTATTGGAAGCCCATTCTTAGTGTGAGGATCGACGGCACGGATGTGTTGACGATGAAGCGTTCGACGTTCGTCCATGTGCCGACGCATTTCAGCCTCAATTCGGCCAATTAGCGTCTGAAATTTGAGCAATCCTCGTCCTTTTGGTCGCGCGGTTTTCTCGTCGTACCCCAGATTTCAACTATCTCTCCGCATTTCTTGCAGGGCAGATTCAGTGGGAGCAGGGTTCCTGCATGTTTAGGAGTACAGGAGTCCCTATTCCGCCGTCTTGCAGGGTTTGGTGTAGGCAGCTTCCGTGTTGGGTCAAGTCTTGGTGTATTGTCGCCCGAGGTGGTTGAATCATACCATTGGACCTCACATTACCAGGTGTCGGGGCGAGCCTTTGCAGTGGTTGGTTATGCTGGTACACGGGCCCTGGGAATCACCAGCAGCTCGCTCGTGGTAGTGACCAACTGTTGGAGAGCTTGTTGTTTCTGTTCAAAAGTACTCATATCGATGTCTCCCGTCGAGGATGTGCATGAAAATTGAGATCAAGCTGACATGAGCGGTCGAAGAGAGCCAACGGTTGACGATCAACCCTTCCCATCCTCAATCGTCATCGGTATCACTTCCTCGCTCAAATCAGTCTCATCTCTTGCCGCTGCTCCAGCGCGAGAATCACCTTCCTTCTGTTGCTCCATGGCGCCCAGCCTGGCTCTCCAGTAACCCTTGCCATAACTCAAGCAGACTTCCTCTCCCTTCGCAATGCCGCTACTCAATGGATTCACCCAAACTCCCATCCTCGCCTCCCACATCTCTTTACCCTTCGCTCCTTTGACCCTGACATAGTACTCCTCGAACACCGCATTCGGCCCGTCTCTGATGCCATGATAATCATTGATGAAGCGAGCTTCATTGCCCATGCCAGCACCATCTATTGCAAGCGAGGCATCCCGGTCCAGGAAAGCAAGGTCATAGTCACTGGTGCTGCAGGTAGGTAAAGGACAAGAGTGCAGCAGACCTGTATAGTCAATGATGTGCGTGCCGGGGACCAGCGGACGGGCAGCGAACAGTCCTGATTGTGGGTATGCTGGGTGCGAAGGTAACTTAATGGATTCAACGACAACCGAAGGATTCGAGCTTGGCGAGAAAGTACATTGAGCGGACACGATATATGCATCCGGCTCCGGGGCACGTACCGATTGAATCAATTCACGCTGACTCGGAGTGAGTGAACTGTCCAGATGTACGGTGGATAGATATGGCAGGTTTGCTGGCCAGTGCTGTGGAGGACGCGTGTATGTTGCCATCTTTGCAGGAGGACAGATTTTTGTCGAACGTTTATCGCCCCTTGTCTGGCCATTGCTGCCCCTGTGTGTTCGGGACTTGCTGTTTGTGTTATGGACCTTGTTTGGCGGTTTTGCTGAACGTCCCATGCTGCTCAAAGAGACATAGTCCAGCCGCCTAATTGCTGACCGGTGTGAGACGCCTACCTTCGTGAGTGCTGCATTCGCTGTGGTCGGAGGTATCACGACAGGAAAGTGAGTGAGTCCCAAGTTCAAAGCAAAGACAAGGGATTTCCGTGGGCTTACCTAAGCGAGGCGCACTTCCCACACAGGTTGTCAGTGCCGGCGAAGTGATTGGAAGGTTGATCCCGATGCAAAGACACGACGAAGGTGGCGGGATCACAGTGTTTATGCTGAAGCAACGGTTTCACAAAGTCAGATCGACTGTATTCATTTCAAAGCACTATTCATCTCCTCGTCTTCCGAGGGATACCTAGTGAGGTATCCATCAAGCCCTCACACCTGGACGCTTGCCACCCTCGAACTCACAGAAAGCTCCAGGAGAAGACCGGCGTCTCTATTGAAAGATCCCTTTGACTCGGCCTCTTTATCGCTTCTCCATATATGTCACCTGTCTCTCGCATACCACTCGTAGGTGCCACCTTTTGGTTCCAATCGCGTCTACAAGTTCTGTACAATCCTTGTTCCTGAGTTGTGCATTGGGCGTTGGAACCTCGTGATTAAGCCTCGACGACTCTGAGGACGAAATTGACTATCACAGCAGCCAGAAGAGCAAGAGCCAAGACGGTGGGCCCAATCCTGTCATCAAAGCCACCTTGACCTCTCACTCTGATACTCTTCGCTCGCCAGTGGAAAGTGACAAGAGCGTATATCATAGCCATCATGGCAACCAGGGTGAATAGTCCAGCGGAAATACGGCCGACCGAGTCGCCAAAGTTCAAGAGCCCAACAGCAAGACCACCGAGGATAACGGTGAAGTTGAGCCACGATAGGAATGTACGCTCGTTGGCGAAGAAGACCTTTGGCTCAACGCGGGTCGGCAGGGCGATGCGCTTGCCTACATTAGAGACCAGTCAGCAGGCTGGGATTGAAACTGGGCTGGAAGCGTAGAGTGGGCTTACCAGGGGCACTTTGAAGCAGAGGTCTTTCGGACATGTTGCTTCGAGGTGGTGAAGGAGATCGTTGATTGTGACTTGGAGAATTTCGGTTTCGGATTTGGAGATCGCTGTCAGACCTGATGGGAACCCTGTTTAGAGTCTGAGGCTCCCGGTTCCGACTATTGGTGTTTTGTGGTAGCAAAGGTGCTTGTTCAGGTACGTCGATAATGAGCGTTCCGTTGGGGAGATTTCTCGTCCGATATTGCTTGGATGGCGACTTGATTGTACAGAGAGTATACGATGACTTCTGGGTTACGGAGGACCTCTGCGTGTTTTCTTCGTTTCTTCGATGTGCGTCCTCACCGTGGTACTTTATTCCACGAGCACTTTCCCCAGCGAACAGATGGCTTGGGATAACGTGTTTGTAACTGCTACTTCTGTAAAGAGCCGCGAGTGGCTTCAAGTGCGGCGTCGACTGCGATGTCTCTGATGGCTCTCGATCAGTCTGGCAATTCTGTAGGACCTTTGGCAAAACTCTTTCTGTAGACTCCAATCCACGCGGTCAAGTCCTGATCTTGCGAAGTGGGACGACGGGCTTGCGGGGAGCTCGGGAAGAGGCTTTCGCTTTGTGGTTCTTTGTGATACGTGGGCTACCCGTTGCTCGGATAGGTCCAGTGAGTGATGAGTACGCTCGGGTCAACGCAGCTCAGCAAGCGGGTGAGGTCAGGCAGTTGTTTGCTCTCTTCTTTTTTTCACTTTCAGCTTTCTCCAACCGCAACCGATTTGAGCACGACGGTCGCAACACAACAGCAGTAAAGTATGTTCAAGGAAGAGTAGAAGGATATACAGCTGCGAATGCACTGGATCAAAAGGTATAGTCGACGCAGCAGTCAGTGACCTTTCAGCTAAGATACAATATGCACAGAAGAAGGTTCTGAGAGGGATCGAAAGGGCTTTTGCTGCAGCTTGAGCTCATTGAGGCTCGGAACTCAACACTGCGGGGACACCAGCCCTGCACCTGCTCGACACGAAGCTTCCTATTCGCGGTAGCCCCTCCAAGCTTTCTGTTGATTCTCCAGGGCAAAGTCCGCAAGCGCGGATAAGGGCGACTCCAGCGCAAAATTGTGCCTGATGCCGAAATGTCCACCGTACGCACATTACGGTCGATCACAAACCTCTTTGACTCCGGCAAACATTCTCGACATCAACAGCAAAATGCACATGCAACCACACTGGACTCTGGCAGCCCTTCACCAGCAACAGTCAAGCACCGCCGACTGAGGAAAGCTTCACACCTGCACCGCTCCAATTCGACCCTCTTCGACGCATCTGTCAGTGCCCGAGGTACCTTTACTTTACAACATCACCAATCGGACCATCCATTGACAGAGTTTCGGCGCCGACTTGCGAGGAAGGCCTCGACATTTAGCTTGAGAACGAGACGTCGCCAGGGCGAACGCGACCAGTGCGAAGCAGCAAAGGAAGAGGAGAAGCTTCGGGAGCTAGTACTGTCGGGAAGTGACAAGGGTGCCGTGCAATCTGTCCAGGAGCGAAGCCCCAACAACTGTCAAGCGGACAAGTCACCTCAGGAGGAAGAAAAGGCGGTCGAGACCCAAGCAGGGGAGGCGCAGGAGCGAGCAGCTACGAGGAATTCTTCGCTGACAACTGTGCGTGTGCGGGACCCTACTGAGAGCCCATCTGTCAAGCAACTTCCTCCTCTACCAACCACCGCGGACTCGGCTGAGAAGACTCTACCGCTACAGGAAGTCATACACCAAACCCAAGAGACATACACCACTGAAGAAGTCGTTGGTGGAAAGACTTCTGTCAAAAAGATGGCGTCGGAACAACCGCAGCCTCCGGTCCCCTATACCCGACTCAAGGAGATAACTGAGCATGTGAGTATCGAATGGCGCCTTCAGGGCTCGTTCTCCGGCTGCGGCCAGGGTGGTCGGAGGTGCTAATGCGTGAATGAGCAGGCCTGCGAAACGGCGCTCTCGGGCGTAACGTCCTACATCCACACCGACACGGAAAAGTGGAACACCACCATCATCAACAGCATTCTAGGCGCCCTCGTGCAGGAAACCACGCAAAGCCCACCTGCCGGCTCATCAGCACCTGCCCAACCACAATTCAAATACGTTGTCAACAGCACCATCATCCAACACGCGGCTTCTTCATCCTCATCTTCCGGCGACGATCCGAAGAGAACCAGTGGCCGCCGAGGTATGCACGCTGCAAGTGGGGCTTATTGGAACAACGAGAAGGATGGCATGTGGAGCTTCAAGTATCCCGGTGCGGACAGCAAGGGGTTGGATGTGGTTGTTGGGATCATCTGGGTTTGGGTTGGTTGAGAAGCCCCAGACCTGCAGGAGCACAAAAGCGATGGAGCGCTACAGAGCTGCAGCGGAAGGGACGGGATGAGGTGCAGTATCTTCAGTCCCTGGGCCTTGACTGCTACTATTGGGCATCACTGAGGAAGAGATACACGTCCTGACGAGATTGGACTGTCTGTTTGGCATTGAAAACCGACATGGGTGGATTCGACCCTGTGGTAGATTATGTCAAGAAATGTGTTGGTGCCTGTGGTGCCAGAAGTGTTGCAAGGGATGCGTCCCCCTGGATGCTGACCCAGCCAACTTTCCCAACCACAGTCCCGTCTGCAGAGCTTTCCGGATGGCCCCAGCCTTTGGCGGTGTGAAGTGCCAGCGGCACACGAAGTCGGCATGATGCTTCTGTTTTCCATGATGAGAATCAGGGCCTGTATGCAGTCTGCAAAGCTATCAGCACGTAACTGGTCTGATTCGATCCTGCTTGCTGATGGCTTGGTAAACCTCTTCTTCTGCTATGCGGCTATCGTGGTGCCGTTTGATTCCCATGACGATGCGCCCATTGGGCTGCTAACATAAACCCAAGACTGTGGGCTCGTCCACGAACATTGAGGACTTAGACAACGATGGATGTGCATGGCCGCAAGCATGCGTAGGGGACATGCCAGCCTTCAATGTCAGGGCGACGATGGCCAATAGACAGGTACACATACTCTGTACCCCTGAACCTCTTTAGAACCACTCGTGCTTGCTGCTGCCATTCAGTCACTGATCTTATCCGGACAACTTAACTTTTGTGCGGCATTCTCAAGTCCCCAGCTTTCCCAAGATGGTTTGCCATTGGATTGTTCAAGATGAGTGAAGGTGCGGCACTTTCAGTCATCTCGTTATTTCAGCCGCAGTGGGAGAGGAGTAAATACCTATTCGCGGCTCCATCGAACAGAATTAATTGAAGTTGCAGACGCGCAACAGATTGTCGGTGGTTCCGCTGTCTCAAGATGCACATTGTCAATGTTGTGTCATCCCACAAGCTGTTGCTGAACAGAAGCAACGCTTCACCTTACATACAATAACCCAGCGTTTACCGTGGTATGATGCAATCTTTGAGTTTGCAGCTGGAGCAGCCGGGGTGCCCGATGAAAGGGCAGAGGTCTTCTTGCAGCTTATTGGCGGCTCTGTTGAGGCTGAGTGTGGCTCCAGCTAGTCTCCTCGGCTTGAAAATACCAGTCACGGTTCGGGCACGCACCCGAGTACGTATCCCAGTCCTCCGCAGCACGCCATCACGAGGTTTGGGTCAGGTGGTGACAGCGGGTCGGGGACTAAGGGGATCGGAGAATTCTCCCCGACCGACGCCCCCTGTCTTTGCACGGCACAGAAGAAAGCTCTTAACTCCAGGTTCAGAGAGATTGGGTAGATGGTGCTTCGCTTAACTTCTCACAGAGTAAGATCAACAAATGTTGCACCCCGGGGAAGTTTGTGTGAGCTGATGACTCACGTACATAGCGCGACCTGGTTCCTTGTGAATAGCAATAATCGAGAGCAGGCGAGGCGACGATGCCTTTCTGCTCCCGAGATC